CATTTAAATTTATCACAATCAATTAAAACAATCGTGATTTTCAATTAAATATTAAAATATTACTTTATAACAAAAAGAGGTAGACCATCATGCATGTTTTAAATGAACGTTATGGTTGTTTTACCAATAATATAAGGCTATGTAAAAAAGGTGTACCTAAGCGCAATGGAATAAACGATATAACAAATACGTATACATGTGTGTACCGGGTATTGCATCCATTTACCTTACCGGGTATTGCATCCATTTAAAACAATTATGACACCATTTAAAATTAAATTAAGTTCCATTGAAATACAGTAAATTAATATAGTTTTAATAAAAATAAGTTTATATAAATTAAACAAGTTAATATATAAACAAAACATTTTCATTCTAATAATATAAAATTTTGAGATTGCGCATGCGTTAAATGTTTTCATTGAAAATCGCGATTGTTTTAATTGATTATCACTACGTTTTAAATGAATGTCATGTTTTTTTAAATGGATGCAAAACCCTGTAAGTAGGTACAAATAATATACTTATTTTTAAAATTATAATTTCTTTTCCTATATAAAAAAATAAAATGTAATTAAAATTAATTAAATTAATTGATATACTGAAAACAAATAATTACATATTGTATTAAAATCAAGCAAGAGTATATATGCAAAGTTTGAAGGAAATCTATAATTAGAAAGCGACTCAAAAATTGATTGCAAGATTTGATGTTAACAGACAGACAGAGACGAGGAGTTAATAAAAGCATTAAGAGGAAAAACTATAGCCGCAACTTTAGCCGTAAATCACTAAAGTTAACCGAAAAAAACTTTACTTAGTGACGTCGACATATATATATATATACATATATATATATATATATATATATATATATATATATATATAAAATCAAATTACTGAAGGCAACCCCGGTTGCCCTTATTTATTGACTTGCCCCCCCCCCCCCCCCTCCGCGACACTAAACCTCAATCCGCCACTGGTCCAACCACTATCTAAAACACTCCATATATTTTCTTGTGGGGCATTTTCAAATAAAAAACTCGAGATAGAATTAGTAGTTTTACTTTTAAATATGAAATGTGGTAGAAAAGAGTTGTCCATTGCATTGACAAAAGTTATTACTCTGATTGTTTCCCGGTCACCTAACTGACGATATTGTAGATACTTAACTCTTTTTTTAACAACTGTTTTTCCCACACGATAGTTAAACTGCATCCCATTCTTATCCATATTTTAAATGTTTTGTGGTTTCTAAGGTAGGTTATTTCCCGTTAACACATTTTTAAGCTTGGAAAAATATTTTGACACTTTACAAACATTAATTCATTGACATCTAATAGCTGCTGAACCTTTTGGTTGACGTCAAGTAAATCTTTGTGCCTTTTGTAAATCCCACCCCATTATTTTTCTGTAGAAGTCATAATTTAGAAATTGGAATCGACCAAATCTGACTCCTAAAGCTGCACGATTATATGCAAAATCAAATCATTTCTTTTCATCTAATATAGTTGGATGTCTGGTTTGGCTTCTATTTCCGTTACTCAAGATAGTCAAAGTTTTAACAAACATTTTAAAATGTCAAAAACTTAAAATGCTCCTTATTGCGAATCTCACTTTATAACAGCTTTAACTGCTGATATCATCGACTCATCATTACATAAACGGTTTTTTCTGAGTTTTCTGTTTTTTAGTTTTATTTTATTTTTTCATTCTAAAGTAAAGTGCTAAATAACACCATAAAAATTTAATTATAAAATGGTTATGACTGTCTAAAAATAAATGTCTATGTTTCAATGATTACATTATATACATGTATCAAGTAATTTAAGTGGTCTATTTCTCTGTCTCTTTCTGTCTCTCTGTCTCTCTCTCTCTCTCTCTCTCTGTATATATATATATATATATATATATATATATATATATATATATATATATATATATATATATATATATATATATATATATATATATATATATATATATATATATATATATATATATATATATATATATATATATATATATATATATATATATATATATATATATATATATATATATATATATATAAAACGACGCTGCATTAAAGTTTTTTAATGAAAATTACCCAGACTAAAGATTCAACCAGGTATTGGTCAGTTTATCCTAAATAACTATGTAGATTGAACGAAGTAACATAGTGGTGTCAAGAAAAATATCGTAAAATAATATATTGTTTTTTTAATTGTCAAGTCTAGATATTAAAAACAAATTAGTACAAAAACAAGTAGCATATAGTGAAATTTAATAGGCTAAATAATCCTTTTTAATGTGCTGGAACACAAAAAAAAAAAATTAAAACAGTTTATTTACTTTTCAAAGAGTGTAAATAAAATGAACTATCGGAAAAGCAACTTGAAAATTCTTCTAGCATCTTTTTCAAGAAACTTTGAGGAATAATCTTCACAGATCAACATATTATTCAAATTTTTACCAATATAATATTACTGGCAAATGGGTTTAAAATTAGGTACCATGAAAAAAATTCCCAAAAAAGTTGCCGAAAGTTTCGCTGATGTTTATATTCTAATCTTGTCGCACGGAATAAGTTACGTGACTGAAGTGACTACTTTTTTTAACGTTTTTTAAACATGTTTTAAACGTTCTTTTTGTGAAAGTGTTTAGAAGACATTTAAAAGACATTTAAAATACATTTAAAACGTAACTTTTACAAACAATTTTCCGCTGGGTAAGTAATCATTTAAAATAAAAAAAGTAATTTTAATTAAATTAGCAATATGACTTAGTTATTGGTTTTTATAAAAAATTTTAAATTTTTTGCATTTATATATATTATAAATTAAATATAAACATTGAGAAAATTAGAACGAAAAATATTGCTGCGTGTTTTTTGATAAAAATTGATCCTAATTTATGAATATATGCAGCTGAATTTTTTTTATGAGGAATTACAATAAGCAGAACTCAATAAAGATTGATTAGCTTAGCTTGAGAAGATTAAATGCATTTTAGATTAGCTTAAGAAGATGAAATGCATTTGAATCAAGTTAGATTAGCTTGAGAAGATGAAATGCATTTGAAGAAGAAGTTATAATATCTTGAACACACACAAAAAAAATTAATTGTTTGAATAATTTAATTAAAAAATATATATAATTAAAACTTCTGTACTTTTAAATAAAAATTTATTTCAAAAGTGATGTGTTTTAAATCTGCGTCTATTAATAAATATAACTAAAAAACTATATATTTTCAGATTATATAAGTAACAGTTGGGCTGAAAAGTTCGTATCGTTTAATAGAAAAACACATTTTTTTTTCAAAATTTGGTTTTATTATTCAACATAGTTTCCATCAGAGGGGGTACAGCGATTATAGCGATCTTCCAACTTTTCGATAATTTTTGTAGTACGATTTGTCCTTTGCTTCGAAATAGGCTTCAGTTTCAGCGATCACCTCTTCATTGCTCTTAAATTTTTTACCAGCGAGCATTCTCTTGAGATCTGAGAACAAGAAAAAGTCACTGGGGGCTAAATCTGGAGAATACGGTGGATGAGGAAGCAATTCGAAGCCCAATTCGTTCAGTTTAAGCATCGTATTCATTGACTTGTGAAACGGTGCGTTGTCTTGATGAAACAGAACTTTTTTCTTCTTCAAATGAGGTCGTTTTTTTGCAATTTCATCCGTCAAACGCTCCAATAACGCAATGTAATAGCCACTATTGATGGTTTTTCCCTTCTCAAGGTAATCGATGAAAATTATACCATGCGTATCCCAAAAAACAGAGGCCATAACCTACCCAGCCGATTGTTGAGTCTTTCCACGCTTTGGAGTCGGTTCATCGCGTGCAGTCCACTCAGCTGACTGTCGATTGGACTCCGGAGTGTGTTGATAGAGCCATGTTTCATCCATTGTTATGTATTGACAAAAAAAATTGGTTCTTATTGATGTAACAGCTCCAAACACTGCTCAGAATCATCAATTCGTTGTTGCTTTTGATCGATTGTGAGTTCACGCGGCACCCATTTTGCACAGCGCTTTCTCATATCCAAAGATTCATGAATAATATGTCCAACGCGTTCCTTTGATATCTTTAAGGTGTCAGCTATCTCCAAAAACTTCACTTTACAATCATTCAAAATTATTTTGTGGATTTTTTTCACATTTTTATCGGTAACAGCCTCTTTTGGGCGTCCACTGCGTTCATCGTCTTCGGTGCTCATATGACCAGTACGGAATTTTGCAAACCACTTACGAATTGTTGCTTCGCCTGGTGCAGAGTCTGGATAACACTAATCAAGCCATTTTTTGGTATCGGCAGCACTTTTTTTCATTAAAAAGTAATGTTTCATCATCACGCGAAATTTTTTTTTTCCATTTTTTTTCAATAACAAAAGTAGCGTCACTACTAGAGCAATATATCACAAACTAATAATCTGACAGCTGTCAAATTTTTACACGTAACTTTTCAAGGTTGGTACTAACTAAAAATGGTATGAATTTAATTCTGGTGGCGCCATTTCTTAGAAACGATACGAACTTTTCAGCCCAACTGTTAGAAAAAGTCATTTGGAAAAAAATATATTTATTAACTTTATAATGTTTTGAAACAAATTAAATTAAGCCTATAATTTTAAGGTTTTGAACCACTATGCGTTAATTTAAAAACATTTTTTTTTTATTCTTCGGTAATTATTATATAATAAACTCGGTAAAAAAAAAAATATAGTAAAAATATAAGTAAAAAAATATATATATATATAGTATAAAAAAACAAAATATTCGGTAAAAAAAAAAACACAACAACAACAACAACAACAACAACAAACGTACAGCTTGATATACTAGGGGATAACTTTAACAACTTACTAAAACAGGTAAAACAAAACTGTTATAAGTTTTTGTAAATTACAAAAACACATAAAACTTTTGATAATAAAAGTTTTTGCAATTTTAGATAAAAAATACTAAATAATTCTGAATAAGTTGATACTTACAACAAGTTTGCTTTTGCACAAAAAAAATGAGAAAAGCCATACACACCTGAAAGAAAATAGAGGAAGTACAATTTATACATAATTAATATATATATATATATATATATATATATATATATATATATATATATATATATATATATATATATATATATATATATATATATATATATATATATATATATATATATATATATATATATATATATATATATATATATATATATATATATATATATAATATATATATATATATATATATATATATATATATATATATATAATATATAATATATATAATAAGTACAGGTTATGCAACATATGTATATATATATATATATATATATATATATATATATATATATATATATATATATATATATATATATATATATATATATATATATATATATATATATATATATATATATATATATATATATATATATATATATATATATATATATATATACTCTTGCATGGTAGTCAGAAAGAGTTTCCCATAAACCATAGTCATAAGAATAAATAGTCTGGAAACACGGCCTGGGAACAATAGCTTTTGCGTTGATGTTAGGTTCTAGTACCCAGCCTACTTTAAGGTGCAAAACAAACAATTTTTTATAGTTTAGCTATAAGTACAATGCTTGGAGCAAATTGTTGAATATATGGCTGTACTACTTCTCGTTTTCCACACGGTATAGCTATATTTAGTCTTCCTAAAGGTCAGGATGACTATAATGTTGAATGGAGAAGAAAATTGATTGAGATTGTCACAAAAGATTGTTCAATTGATTCAGCATTAAGAAAACAAATTGCCAGCGAATCTTTACATGTATGCGAAAAGCATTTTGAAGATCACGAAGTTAATAGAAGTAAGCTATGTGTTCGCATATTCAAGTGTGTGTGCGTGTATATATATATATATATATATATATATATATATATATATTATATATATATATATATATATATATATATATGTATATATATATATATATATATATATATATATATATATATATATATATATATATCTTTTAAAAAGGCGACGGTTATTAACTACAGAGAATATTTTATATGGCAACAGATTATTTGTTAATTAATTTCTGAAAAGCCAATGATAAAGCCTTATTTTTAACGTAAATCAATATAAAAACACAAAAATTTCACAAAAATATAAATAAATAGATGTAACAAAAATCTTTGCGCGCGTAAACTATATTTTTATTTAATACCATTTTAGTGTAAATCATAGATTTGTTTATTAATTTAAAATCAATTTTCTAAAAATCTGACTGTAGGATTTCAATAATTTTTTTTTAAACTTCAGATAAATATGTTCTATATGTATGGTATTTTTCTGGTCGTTGCTTCTACTTTTTTTTTCATATAAAAATTTGTTTTCACTTTTATGACTATATATATATATATATATATATATATATATATATATATATATATATATATATATATATATATATATATATATATATATATATATATTACTAATATATATGACTTATCACTAATATTACTATTAAATAGTCATAACAGTAAAAACAAATTTTTATATTGAAAAAAAATTTGAAGCAGTGACCAGAAAAATATCATAAATATATAGTTCAAAAAAAAATTATATAAAATCCTACAGTCAGATTTTTTGAAATATGATTTCAAATAAATAAACATCTCTATGAGTTATACTAAAAAGTTGTTATTTGAAAATAAAGTTTAAGTACTCCAAGTTGTTTTTTATCCTTTTTTTATTTATATTTTCGTGACATTTTTGTAATAATATACTGATCTAAATAAAAATAGGGCTACAACTATTAGTTTTTAGAGATCAAATAACAAATTACATTGTTCCCATGTAAAATAAACTCTGCAGTTAAGAACAGTAGCCCTTTTAAAAGTTCAAAAGTTTTTAGCATGTTCTCACGCATGCGTACCTAAACATAGCGCTTGTAAACGACCGCGGAAGCCATAACTAATATACAAATTAAAGATCACTCAAATTACGACCCTAAGGTTCTAAACGCAATTTTCAAAGGTTACGTTCACAGCGCTTTTTCTTTATGCAGTAATTTATAATTGCAGGATGAGATTAATTTCCTTATTCAAATATTTAACGAAAATGGGTACAGCTTATACCAACTTAAACGGATTGCAAAATTAATTGGAAATAAACGGTATCTAAAAGTCAATAAAATTCAATCAGACTCTCTTAACATCCCTACTGTATCTTTGCCGTGGATACCATCGCTTTCCCCAAAACTTAGAAAAATATTTTGTAAAGCTGGCTATAGAGTAGTCTTTAAATCAAATCCAGATTTAAAAACATCACTGACGTCAAAAAACAAAACTAAATTACCACAAAATAGTCAACCCGGAACTTATTTGATTGAATGCAAATGCTTAAAGAGATACGTAGGCAAAACCAAACTTCAAATTAGGACTCGGACTCAACAACATCTAAAAAGTTTAAACGAGGGTAACAGTATCATTGTGCAATAACCACCCATAATAAGTTTTGCTCACAAGAAATATAGTGGGAAAACGTAAAAACAATTAAAGTTGAAACAAAAAAAATTTGATCTAAAAGTGCGCGAAGCCCTAGAAATACTGAGGTTCCAATGTTCACCTATTCATGGCGGAATTAATTTAGATAATGGGCAGTTTGTTAAAACCAATTTTTGGACTCCATTTTTTACATTTTACGTAAGCAAGAAAGAAGCCATTCAACTGCTGACGTCAAATATGTATAAATATCTATCTATCTATATATATATATATATATATATATATATATATATATATATATATATATATTATATATATATATATATATATATATATATATATATATATATATATATATATATATATATATATATATATATAATATATATATATATATATATATATATATATATATATATATATATATATATATATATATATATATATATATATATATATATATATTACTAAAACGTCTTTTAATTAAATTTGGAAACATTTAAAGAGTAACTTTATTTCATTTATTAGGGATATATTAGGCTTTTAGATGATGCCAAACTAGCTCCTCAAGCAATAAATCCAATAGATGACGCAATAGTTCGTAATATTTCCCCAGCCTTGGAAATGCTAAAAAAATAAAGTTGGTACAGTTGATAGCAGTGTAAATAGTAATATTAAATCATTTGAAGTAATAAAAAATATACTTTCCAAGATTTAATCTTGTTTTATAAGGCAAAGAATTTTTCCCAACCAACTAAAAATAGTGAAGGTGAGTCCTATACTTAAAGGAGGTGTTTTAACAAGTATTAGCAACGATTGTTTTTTATTATTCTGTACTTTTAAAATACATGGATAGATTATTACATATAAGAATTTAAAATTATTAATTTATAAACAACTTAATATATAGTAATCATTAAAGATTTAAAAAAAAGTAACACAAGAGAACACAGAATTCTCTAGCTTTTTAATGGCATAACTAACTCTTTTAAAAGTTCCCATTTTACAGTTGGGGTATTTATTAACTTAGCTAAAGCTTTCAATAAAATAAATTACAGAATTAATTTAAAATAAATTAAAGATATATGGTATAGGCAGTAGCGTTTTAAATTGGCTTAAAACCTTTTGAAATAAACTTGAGAAAAATTTTACACATTAATGTAGTATTTCCAGTAAACTTCCTTAATATAATTTGTGGAGTTTTTCACGAAGTATTAGTTGGTCCTTTTATCTTTTTTATTTACTTTAATAATCTTTATTGAATCTTGAAGTTAAAGACGTTTGACAACAACATGATCTTATTTTAACTCCAAATTGATCTGTCTCTTAATAATAAAAAAATTAAGAAGACTTTCTTTGATTCTAATCACAAAAGACATTTTATACCACATGACATTCTAACTGTATTTTATAAACAAAATAATTAAGAAAAACTCACAGTTACCAATTTTTTTTATAATTACATTAATGAAAATCATATTTATCACGTAAAAAATATAAGTAAAAAAATTTTGATAAGATTAGAAATTTTGCGTGGGGTGTTTCTATCAAAAAAGAATTCGATGATCATTTTTATCAATAGAAACCTGTTGTACGCCTCACATATTCAAAGGACTGATTTACTCATGCGTAGCTTTTTTTGAATGAAAGGAATGTTGTTAACATAAAAAAGCTTATTAATTTTATTATTGTTTGCTATATGTTTAAATTGTACCTTTTGATGCAAATCTTAAATTTCTTATTTTAAGAAAATTAATTTATGAATATTTAAAGTAAATGAAGCTTTAACTTTATAGCGCGAAAATAAAAACACCTGTAAAAAAAAATCACTGCATTCTATTTGATAAAAATTGGTACAAATGTACGAATGCAGCATATAGCCACATCACACCTTGACCAAAGTTTTATTTAGATTGGTTGAATAGTTAAATAGTTTTTAATTTACATTTTTTTAGTTTTTTGCTACACAGACCTCAAAACGTTATTAACTACTGTGACATTTAATCACTACTTTTAAAATTGTGGTTACGTGATTGTTCTACTATTGTAAAACTATGTATTTTCTACAATTTTTGGTATAATTTTTTATTGCTACTTGTACCATTTATAATCTATAAAAAAAATGATTTGCTATTTGAAGCGTGGTTAGAATAGGTTTATATAACATAAGCAAACTCCAATATGTATAAACATACATATTGGAGTTTGCTTATGTATAAACTACTACCATAAATCAAAAAAAAAATTTCTAAAAAAGTGCAAAACCTGGCAAAAGAACTATCAGGTAGTAAAATTAAAAAAAAACAGTTCTGTAAAACATTTTTTATTGACCTTTGAAACATTCTAAAATACTTTATTAATTTATTTAGTTATTTAATAACTTCTTTCAAAAAGAAGTTCTTAAACAACTTTATAAACCCTATTTTTTATAATAAATTGCGATCAAAAACTATCTGAATAAGTTTTAAGACATGATTTTTGACTTTCTCCAAAACAAATTTATTCAAATTAGCCTAATATACTCTT